AATGACTGGCTGACGTCTTGAAAAAGACCCCTTTTATCACCATTCTGTGCCTTCTGCCAGTTATCCAATCCTCTATCCATGCCAGTACCTTGCACCAAACGTCATGGACTCTTATCTTATTTAGCAGCCTCCTATGTGGCATCTTGTCAAAGGCCAGCTGGAAATCCAATTGATCATGTCAACTGACTCTCCTTTGTCTAATTTGCTCTTTACCTCCTTAAAGAATTCTAACAGACTTGTTAGGCATAACCGCCTCTTGAGGAAGTTGTGCTGACTCAGCTCTATTTTTACTGTGCACTTCCAAGTACTCTGTAAGCTCATCCTTAACAATGTTCTCTAAAATCTTATCAATGACTGAGTCTGGCTAACTGGCCTATAATTTCCTGTCTTCTGCCTCCCTCCCTTCTTAAAAGGGAGCATCATATTCACCATTTTCCAGTCCTCTGGGACCGTCCCTGACTCCAATGATTCCTGAAAGATCACCACGTCTGCTTTTACATTTTCCTCAGTTATCTCCTTCTGAACTCTGAGGTGCAGTCCATTTGGTCCAAGTGATTTATCAACCTTCAGACCTTTCAGCTTCCCTAGCATCTTTTCCTTAGTGATGGCCACTACACTCATCTCTTCCCCCTGAAACACTTGAAGTTCTGCCATTCTGTTGGTTGTGTTCCACCATGGAGACTGATGTGAAACACCTTTTCAGTTCCTCTGCCATTTCTTTGTTCACCAGCCTCAGTTTCCAACAATCCAATGTCCACTGATGCCTCTTTGTTAATTTTTAGATATCAACCTGCTGGATTTCTCCAGCAATTCCTGTTTTTGCTTCAAATCTCCAGCATCCACATTTATTTGTTTTATTTTGGCCTATAAGATCTGGATGAGTCATATCTCAGGCTGCTGTGGGAGACCAGGGAGGAAATTATAGGGGCTCTGACCTAAAAGTTCAGCTCCTTTCTGCACAGGGAGGTGCCAGAGGACTGGAGGACAGCTAAAGTGGTTCTACTTTTCAAGAAAAATGGTAAAGGTAGACTGGGAAATTGAAGACCAGTGAGACTCACATCAGTGTTAGATAAATTGTTGGAGAAAATTCTGAAGGAGAGAATTAATTTCCACAAGAAAGGCAAGTTTTATTCAGGGATTGTCAGCATGGTTTTATCAGAGGGAGGTCAGGCCAACACATTTGATATTTTTGAAGGGGTGCCTAGGTAAGCATAGGTAGTGCAGTTGATATGGTTTATATGGGTTTCAGCAACGCCTTTGACAAGGTGTCGCATGGGAGATTGATAAAGAAAAGGTAACAGCACATGGGATCCAAGGTTACTTGGCAAGTTGGATCCAAAATTGTGTTAATGAAGGAGACACTTATGTGACGGGAGGTCGGTGTGGTACAGAGATCAGGGCTGGGTCACTTATTGTTTATAATATATGTATAAACGATATCGAAGAAAATATGAGGGTGATGATCAGTAAGTTTGTGAATGACATGAAGATTGACTGGGTGGCTGACAGTGTGGAGGAAGGTGTTAGATTACAGGAGGATGTAGATGGTTGGTCAGATGGACAGCTTAGTGGTAGTTGGAATTTAACACTGATAAATGTGAGGTAATGCACTTTGGGAGAAGGAACAAGACGAAGGAATAGTCAGTGAATGGCAGGACACTAGGTTAGCTAAGGGGAACAGAGGATCTTGGGGTGGTTATCCTCAGATCCATGAAGGCAGCAGGTCAGGTTAATGGAGTAGTTAAGAAGGCACATGGCACACTTTCCTTTATCAGTCATAGCATGGGTTATTAGATCAGGAAGGTTATGTTGAAGCAGTAAAGGACTTTGGTTAGGTCACAGCTGGAGTTTTGTGTATAGTTCTGGTCATTACATTTTAAGAATGATGTAATGCACTGGTGAGGTTGTAGAGGAGATTCATCAGGATGTTGCCTGAGCATTTCAGTTATGGTGAAAGGCTGGACAGACTCAGATTGTTTGCTTTCGAACAGAAAGGGTTCGGGGGAACCTGATAGAGGTGTATAAAGTTATGAAGGCCGTCCAACAGGATGGATAAAACGTAGCTGTTCCCAGTAGTTGAAGGGTCACTAACATGAGGACATAATTTTAAGGTGAAAGGCAGAAGGTTTAGAGAGGAACAGTTCTCTAGCCCAGAGGGTGATGGGGGTCTGGAATGCACTGCCTGGGAAGGTAGTTGAGGCCGGTAACCTCACCCCTTTAAACTACTTGGATGAACATTTGAAATGTCATAACATCCAAGGCTATAGGCCAAGTGTGGGAAAGTGGAACTTTTGTAGATTGAGAGTAGTTTTTGTTGGTAGAGACTTGATGGACCAAAGGACCTCGTCTGTACTATGACTCGATGATTCTGTCCATGGTGTGAATTTAAAATGGAACAGTTTGCCCCAATCACCTATTGCAGTTTTTACAGTGAAAGCTTAGACGTTTCCTGTGTTGGTAGGCATGACACTTCATTAGCATGTTTACATCGAGCTCCAGTGCAATGACAGGGACACAGTTTAAGATTACCACTTGCTACACATGCTTCACCACAGTCAGGAATTCCATCAGCAAGAGAAAGGTAAGGGCCGTTGTTAAAAAAGGTAAGCCCCTTTTCCAACACTCCCATGTGGGTTTGGAGGAACCGGAAAGCTCCTTCATGTAAGACTCTGGTGTCCCTCCATCAAATCACGCTCTGCCTCTCTGTCTCTCTCTGCCCTGCCATCATTGATGACCTCCCTATCCCAACCCCTCTTGTGATAGTTCCTTTTCTTCTAAATATTCCTTGCCATCTGGGGGATCTGGAACCCATGATCATGGCCAGCTTCTCCTCAACTCCTCCCTCACAGAACCCTAAAGACTGATCACTTCTAGCTTTTAAAGGTCTCCATTGATTCTGATTTTGATTTTATTATCATGGGTAAACAAGTACAAAAGTACAGGAGTACAGGGAAAAATGTATAATGTTGTCACAGAAGGTGCAACCTTAGGTACAAGTACCCAGATACAGAATCTTGAGAATAAGGTAGAAAGAAAGAATAAAGTTAAGAGTTAAACATTGCAGTGATTATAGAATAGAGTAAAACACACGGAATAAGGTTAAATGTTACACATAACTGACCTACTTAGGTTTAAGTAGAAAATAAAGAAATAAAGATGAAAGTTCAAACATTACAGTCTTTCTTACGTCCTTAGCCACAGTGGGACCAAACTTTGAGGAGGTAACTCCTGCTACATGTGTTCCCGTCTGTGGCCAGCTAACCTGTCATTTTGGGAATGTGTGCAGGGAACGGATCAAGAGGTGTTGCCATTAAGTGTAGCAAGGTCACTTGTGCCACGACCTGATTGGGTGTGTCCCCACTCATCTGCACGTTCCCTGCCTCCCAGTGTTTCGGGGCAATGTTGTCGCCAGAATCCGAGACGTCTCTGTCTATAGATGGTGCCTGACCTGTTGAGGGCTTCCAGCTGCATTTTCTGTTTATATTTCAGTTTTTCAGCAGAATTCTGCTTTGGTTTTGTGCATCATGGGAGGTGAGACTGACATATCAAAACCAGTTTAGCAAAATTGCTGTGTATTTGTTAGCAGCGTGGAAATAACAGTCAATAATCCGATGCAAAGTCTTTCTTTCATTCATTGAATGTGGGTGTCACTGGTTGAGTCAGCATTTATTGCCTATCCTTGTCATTAGAATGGTCCTGTCAACTTCTACTGCCATAACTTTTGTGTTTCTCTGACTGAAATCCAGCAGATATGATGTTTGCTTAGCTCACTTGGCTGGTTTGAATTACAGAATGAAACCAATAGTGTGTGTTCAATTCCTCTGCCTGGTTGAGGTTACTTTGAAGTCCCCCTCCTTCTCAACCTCTTCCCCCCACCTGAGGTGTAGTGACCCTCAGGTTAAAAATCACTACCAGTCATTGCACTCTCTAATATGACAGCAGGACTGAGGCAACTTTATGACTCCACCAAAAAAAGGTCTTTTGCTGGAACATTGCCATAGTTCCCACAGAAGGGTAAATAAAACTCATCTAGTGTCATGAAGGTGAGTGAAGGTGGTGTTCAGAAGGGTGCTTAAAAATGATGGAAATTTTCATTTATTAAATGCGTCAATTCCTCCATGTGATTTCAATGAGCGGTTGTGTTTAAAAGAATATGTGGGTCAATAAGAAAGAGCACATTGGCAATTTTATTGAAATGTGCTCAGTGTTCATTTCAGCACAGTGCACGTAATAAGTGCCAGTTAAGCATCTGTCACATCTTAACCCCTAATCCTAAACATTTTTATGGAGTTGAACAGTGACTCTGCTGCACAATTAATTGCTCCCACCATCTACTCTCACTGTCTTCACTCTAATTTGCTCATTTCCAAATGATTAAGAATGGCTACTTTCTGAATGCCATCTCCTGTATTGGTCCCATTTTCTTTCACTCCTGCCTGTTCCAATGATGAGAGGAATATGCTCAGCCAAAGCAATCAAAATCCTCAGCTGCCTCATGGCTAGTGATTATTCAGACACACGTGATCCTAAATGCACTCCAACTTGCTGGTTTCACATTCTTCAGTCACAATTATAAGACGTCCAATTGACTGAATCTACATTCAGATTGTATCACAAGTGCTGACATATAAAAAAGTGTTAATTATCTGAGGGCTGAAGAATTAAATCACATCTATGAAAAGTTGCGCTACATCTCTTCAGACCAGTGCTTGACAAAACACTAATTAATTGATTCAGTTTGCAATTGATTAGAATTTGTCCTTGACTTATTGATTGGCATGAGGTAGGTAGTAAAGCTAGAGGACAAATTGATGGTGTAACCTTGGATTTGCCATGCACATGTACTGATTTATACAATGGAGAATGCACACAGGACATGGTCTGAGGAAAGATGAACGTTACCTAGGACCATCTCGAGATCTGTTGTCAAAGTCAGTTTCATCATGTTACCTCTGCAACAGCAGAAGCCAACTTGAAATCCCATCTTTGGCCCTTCACAGATATCGACGAATGTGCCTCAGGGGTACACAGTTGTTGGAATGACTCAATCTGTGTTAATCTTGACGGAGGGTTTGACTGTCGATGTCCTTTCGGTGAGCACTGCACTGGAGACTGTCCCCATGATGAAGGCTTGAAGCATAATGGACAGGTCTGGACCTTGAGAGATGACCGGTGTTCTGTCTGCTCATGCCAGGTGAGTACACATAACCTCATGAAAAGCTCACTTGAGATGTGGTTCACCGTAACTCATGCACAAGTTCCCAGCGATCATAGATTGCTCCACAATGAATGAAATGAATAAGAAACATTTCATATCAGTTCTACTTATTGTAAAAAATAGACTCTCCTAAATGTTAAACCTTCAATTTTTGAGGCAGAGGCAAATAAATTCTTCATTACAAAGGCAATGAAAGATTATTGGGGAAATGTGAAATGTAGTTTTGAGGTTAAAATCAGATCAGCCATGACCTTATTGAATCATTGCCCAAGGCTCTTTGACATGGTGAAAATCTTGTTTCCTATTTTAAACAGGCACAATTCACCTCCACTCTTAATTGCCTGAAGGGAGCCAAAATTTTAGAAGCAATGTATATGTTCAGCATATCTGAAATTTAGAAAGAATTATTAAAGGAAACAATGGTGATATATAGAAGAGAATATTAGGAGCATAATAAAGGATGATCACTCAACAAAAAAGGAAGCACTGTAAATTGTGGCATATATTCCCCTGTTTTTGGAGAGGTATATCAAGGCTTCAAAGGTTGACTTATATTCTGTCACTGATGGTCTTTTATTGGTACAACAAGAGTGCAACAGGACCTAGAGAAAACAGTCTACTGCCAAAAGATTTCAAACATCTTCCAGATTCCAGCTCAGGTTTATCCCGATTCCGAGATAGAAATGAGCCCCTGTCCCGCGGCCCAAGATGTTGTCCCTAGTTTGCTAACTGCCCATCCCTTAATGTATTCCCAGACACTGTCAGAAACAACAGTGCCCACTGCTGACGCCACCATCACCACCACAACACTCTTCTTCAAAGAGTGTCATACAATCTTTTATGTCCAGTTGAAAGGGCAGATGCTTAGTTTAGCATCTTATCTAGAAGACAACAATGCCTGTACTCTTCACCTGACCTCCAGGGCCCATGGCAACACCACTGAGACTTGTCTCTGAGCAGAGGTAAGTGCAGTAACACAAGGGCACCATTCACATTCACAATCATACAAAAGGATGCCAATGTGAATAATACATCAGAAATGCATTTGAGTTACCTGCTAAAATTGGGATAGTAACTGGGAGATGATGGCTTGACGATAATGTCATTGGCTAATACTCTGGGGACATTGGTTTGAACGCAATTGTGACAGCCAGTACTATTTAAATTCAATGAATAAATCTGAAATATAGAGCGGAGTAGAACTTTCAGCCCCTTGATTTAATACAACCATTTAATACAAATGGCTGATCTCTGCTCCACTTTCCTGCCTGCTCTCCATAACTCTTTAACCTGTTACTCATTAAACATTTCTCTTCCTTAAATATCCCAGTATACACTGCACTCTACAATCGCGAATTCCACAGATTCTTGACCCTTTGAGAGAAGTAATTTTTTCTCATTTCTGTTTTAAGTCTGCTACACCTTATCGTAAAACTTTGACTACTCATTCTAGATTGCCCACATGGGGAAACATTCTTTGTCAATCCTGGTTATCACCTTATATACTTTAATTAGATCTCCTCTCAATCTTCTAAACTCCAGACAGTGGAGGCTTAAACTCCTTAATCTCTCTTTATAAAACAGACCCCTCATCTCTGGAATCAATCTAGTGAACTGCCTCTGAACTGCCTCCAATACAACGCAATTCCTCCTCTAGTAAAGGGCCCAAAATTACACGCAATACTCCAGGGCCAATCTCACTAATGCCTTGTACAGTTGCAGCAACACTTCCCTACTTTTATACTCCATTCCTTGAGCAATAAATGCCAATATTCAGTTTGCCTTCCTTATTACCTGTTGTACCTGAATACTCATTCAGTAAAAGTGACCATAATAACAGTCATTGATTGTGGTTAAAAGAATTTATTGTTAAGGGAAGGAAATCTGCCATACTTACCCATTCTGGTTTACCTGTGGTTGACTCTTCAGTGCCGTCTGAAATGTTTAGTTCAAGTGCAAATTGTGATGGGCGATAAATTCTGGCCTTGCCAGTGGTGCCCATATCCCATCAAAGAACGAAGTTAAGAAAGGATGACCAGTGTGAAATGAGGTTGACATTGTGCACTGTGGGTTGGCTTACGTTTCTGGAGTCTCATTCTACTGTGATCACAAAAGCCAACTGCAATACCAGGATATAGTGTTCGATTGAAATCTTTCTGCCCCCATTCCCTGAAGTTTTCAAACCACACATTGTGGTATGCCAAGATAGTAGGAACTGCCGATGCTGGAGAATCTGAGATAACAAGGTGTAGAGCTGGATGAACACAGCAGGCCAAGCAGCATCAGAGGAGCAGGAAGGCTGACGTCTCGGGCCTAGACCCTTCTTTAGAAAAATGATATGCCATTGGCTTATCTATGTGCCTGATTTAGTACGTGTCCATTACTCATTTATTCAAGAACAAAATGTCAGTTATAGTTTGTTTCTTCCAACTGTCTGAAACCTAATGTTACATCTTCAGGGTGATAGCTGTTTTCTCCTTCTCTGGTGACAGGATGGGAATATTTTCTGTCGAAGGACTGTTTGTGACTGTCGCACACCAAATGTTGACCTCTTCTGCTGTTCAGAATGTGACACTAGAGTGACCAGCCAATGCCTGCATCAGAATGGACACCTAGTCTATCGCAGTGAAGACGTCTGGATTTATAACTGCCAGCAATGCCGATGTTTGGTACGTGCATGAACTTAGAATACCAGGCCATTCGGCCCGACAAGTCCACACTGAACAGCATACCACCCAGACCCATCCCCCTACCCTTTCCCTGTAACACTACATTCCCCACAGCTAATGCACCTAACCTGCACGTCTGTGAACACTATGCGTAATTTAAGCATAGCCAATCTGCCTGACTTGCACATCTTTGGACTGTGGGAGGCAACCAGTGCACCCAGCAGAAACCCATGCAGACACAGTCAGAACATGCAAACTCCACACAGCCAGTTGCCTCAGGGTGGAATTGAACCTGGGTCCCTGGTGCTGTGAGGCAGCTGTACTAACCACTGAGCCACACTGCTGCCCTGGGATCCATTTCTGTGTGACCATAAGGGAAGAAAGACTTGCATTTATATAGTGCCTTTTGTGATGGAAGGGTGATACCAAAGGATGTTCCAGCTTGTGAATTATTGTAGAAATGCAGTCACTGAGTTGATATGTAAGAAATGCATAAAACTCCCACAACCTACAAGATGAAAATGACCAGCTTTATTAGGGGTTTGTCAGCTCAGTTGGCTGCACAGATGGCTTGTAACACAGGATAATGCCAACAGCTTGGGTTCAATTCCTACACTGGCTGAGGTTACCTTGAAGGACCTCCTTCTCAACTGCTTCCCCCTGCCTGAGGGACAGGAACCTCAGTTTAAACCACCACTAGTTGTCTTTTTGTAATGAGAGAGCAACTCTATGGTCTTCCAAGACTATGACGATTTTACTTGTGTTGACCAGATGATTTATTTTAGTGATGTTGTTTGACCAATAATTGGCCTGGGCACTGAAGAAAGTACTAACACTCTACTTCAAACAGGGTAGGGGCTGGGAGGCTTGACAGTCTTCTGAAAATTATCCAAAAGACAGCACTCCTGAGAGTATCAGGAGTTGGCCTTGATATAGGCTTGAGTAGGCAGAAGGATAAAAGCTACTTAAAAAAGAAATGAATGTACATAAAGATGCAGCATTGATAGCAAAGCAATCGTTTATTGCTCATCTCTAATTGACCATGTGATGGTAGCAAGTCGCCTTCATGAATATAAGCAAATGGCTTGTCAGGCCATTTCACATGATGTAGAGTCATAGAGTCATTTCGCATGGAAAGAGACCCTTCGGTCCAACTCGTCCACACCGACCGTAATCCCAAATTAAACTAGTCCTACCTGCCTGTGCTTAGCCCATATCCCTCCAAACATTTCCTATTCATGTAATTATCTAAATTTAAACATTGTAACTGTACCCGCATCCACCGCTTTCACTGAAAGTTCATTCCACACACAAATCACTTTCTGTGTTAAAAAATTGCTGCTCATGTCTTCTTTAAATTTTCTCCTGTCACCTTCAAAATATGCCCATTAGTCTTGAAGAACCCTACCCTAGGGAAAAGACACCTGTCATTCACTTTATCTATACCACTCATGAGGTTGTAAACCTCTAATAAGGTCACCTCTCAACCTCCTACACTCCAGTGAAAAGAAGCCCCAGTCTATCTAGCCTCTCCTTGTAACTCAAACCTTCCATTGCCAACAACATCCTGGTAAATCTCTTGTAACCCTCTCCAGCTCAATAATATCCTTCCTATAACTGGGCATCCAGAACTGGATTTAGTATTCCAGAAGAGGCCTCACCAATGCACTGTACAACCTCAACATAATGTTCCAACTCCCATACTCAAAGTTGTGAGCAACGAAGGCAAGAGTGCTAAATGCCTTCTTAACCACACTGTCTACCTGTGATGCAAATTTTAAAGAATTATGTACCTGAACCCCTAGCGCTCTCTGTTCTATAACACTACCCAGGGTACTACTTTTAATCATATAAGTCTTGTCTTTATTTGTTTTACCAAAATGTAATACATTTGAGGGTATAACATACTGCTGTGGCTATGGAGTCAGATATCATCCAGCTGGATAAGAAAGATACATTATTGAACCAGATGGCTTTTTAATGGCAATTTGGAAATAGCATAGTATTTATTCCAAATGGACTAAAATGACTGAACTTAAAATGTCATTATGGGGTTTGAACTCATTTCTCTGGGCCATTAATTTCGGCCAACCTGTTAGATACCCTTGCCAGTGACATCCACATCCCACGAAAGAATAAAGATTGAAAAGATATAAGGAATTCAATTTGTACCTCAGCCATGACCTTTGCTTCCACAAAAAGATTTTTTTACATCCTATTAGTCCCTTCGTTCCTTTGTTTGCCCTTTTGCTATTTGTTTGTGAAATAATTTTGAGTTCCTTCTTAGATAAACCAATAATAATTATAATTGTTTTCCTTGTCCTTCTTATTCATTTTTGGCTCTCACTTGTATATTCTGTATTCAGCCTCTACTGAATAATGAACCTGATATTTGACATAAGCTTCCTTTTGTTAAATTATTTTAATTTGAAATCTCAGGGAGTTCTGGTTTTGATACCCTCCCTTTTCCTCCAGTAAAAATGTATCTAGGCTGTATCCAATCTGTCTCCTTCTTAAAGACTTCCTCCAGTTTGTTTGCTGTTTTACTGACAGGATTTGATTCCAATCCACCTGAACCATGTTTCTTTCCAAGTCACTGGATCAATCCCTCTTCAGTCGAATATTATCAGATTTGATTTTTCTTCTGCTTTTCCAGAATTGACCAATGTGATGACAGGTTTGCAAATGCTTTCTCACTGAACCATCCATGAGTTAAAACGCTGATTGTCAGAATGAGAAGCAGTACTGTTTCCTACTTTTGGAATGGTTCAAGAAAGCAGCTCGCTACCGCCTCCTCAGGGGCACATATTCATTTATTCATTCTCAGGATGTCGAAGTTGCTGGCTAGGCCAGCATCTATTGCCTATTCCTAATTGCCCATTTGACAGTTGAGAATCAACCACAATGGAGTGTGGAGTCACAGGCAGGCCTGGTAAGGATGGCAGATTCCTTCCCTAAAGGACATTTGTGAAACAGATGGGTTTTTCCTGACAATCAACAATGATTTCATGGTCATCCTTAAACTTTTATTTCCAGATTTTTATTGAATTCAAATTCCACCATCTGCCATGCCAGGATTTGAACCCAGATCCCCAGAACATTAGCTGCATCTCTGGATTCATAGTCTAGTGATAATACCACTAGGACATTGCTTCCCCCAAAGATGAACTTGGGATGGGTAATAAATGTTGGGTTCAGTCAGTGATGCCCTATTTTGCGAATAAAAGTAAAACAAACAATTAATGAAGAAGCTTGTGTTGCTGAGTTGATATTTATCAAAGAGTTGAATTTCCTTTGTTCTTAATCTGAATGATGGACAGGATTCTAATAAGGGCTTTGCACTTTTGAACTTGCCAAGCGATGTGTAGATAGGATTAGCAGAAGAAACGTGTTTTAGTTGTGAAGAACTTCATGCATATGTGTCATCACAGCTTCTCAGGTTTGATTTACAGGTCCTCATTCGCTTTCTGACCTCGTGCCATAAAAGGAAGTTTGCCTGGGATTTTCAGGCCATCCTAATCATGTATGTTTTGCACGTACAGCAGGGAGAAGTGGATTGCTGGCCTGTGTCCTGTCCGACACTCAGCTGTGAGTATACAACCATCCCAGAGGGAGAGTGCTGCCCACGCTGTGTGAGTGACCCCTGCTTAGCTGACAACGTGGTCTATGATATCCGACGGACGTGTACAGATAACCACGGAATAACCCGGCTGAGCGGTTCCATATGGACCATGGCTGGATCGCCCTGCACAACTTGCAAATGCAAGGTACAGCGCGACACAAACAATTCACTTTGTCCTTACTTGTCTCACCAACAGTGTCATATCGCTGCTCTGTGCTACTTCCACCTTACCCCTGATGCCAAAGTATCTTGTTTGAGCATGTCTGTAGCAAAGTTGAGGAACATGAGGGAACACTGCATGTAAACTATTTCATAGACAATTTTATGAGTGAAATTCAGAAAATCAATAACTTATGAACTAATGAAAATAAAGACAAAATCAATATAAACAACTGCAGATGTTGGAAATCTGAAACAAAGACAGGTAAATGCTGGAGAAACTCAGCAGCATCTGTGGAGAAAGAAACAGAGTTAATATTTCGGGTCCCAGATTTTCAGAACTGGGTCACTGGATTTGAAATGTTAATTCTGCTTTCCCTCTTAGATACTGCCAGACCTGCTGAGGTTCTCCAGTGACATATGAACCAGGAACAGGAACAGGCCAGTAGGCCCCTCAGGCTTTTTCTGCCTTAAAAATGATCATAAAGTCATAGGATTTGTTTCCATACAGTGTGACTCTTTGGTCCAACCAGTCCATGTCGACCATTTTTCCAAACTAAACTAATCCCACCTGCCTGCGCTTGGCCCATATCCCTCCAACCTTTTCTATTCATGTACTTATCTAAATGTCTTTTAAAAGCTGTAACTATACCTGCATCCATTACTTTCTGGAAGTTCATTCCAAATACAAACCACTCTCTGTGTAAAACAATTGCCCCTCATGTCCTTTTAAAATCTTTCTCCTCTCACCTTAAAACAACTGCCCCTAGTTTTGAACTCCCTCACCCTAGCGGAAAAGCCCTTGTCATTCGCTTTATCTGTGCCTCTCATGATTTTACAAACCTCAATAAGGTCACACCTCAACCTCCTATGCTCCAGTGAAAACAGTCTCAGCTTATCCAGTCTATTTTTATACCTCAAACCCTCCATTCCCGCCAACATCCTGGTAAATCTCTTCTGAACCCTCTCCAGTTTAATAATATCCTTCATACAGCAGGGTGACCATACTCCAGAAGAGGCCTAATCAACATCCTGTACAACCTCAACATACAAGTGGATAAGGTGGTAGAGAAGGCATATAACATGTTTGCCTTCATCGGTTGGGGCATTGAGTATAAAAATTGGCAAGCCATGTTTCAACTGTATAAGACTTTCATTAGGCCACATTTGGAATACTGTGCGCTGTTGTGGTCACCACTCTATAGAAAGGATATGGAGCCTTTAGAGAGGAGGAAAAAGATGCTGCCTGGTTTGGAGTGTATTAGCTATAAGGAGAGGTTGGACAAACTTGGATTTTTTTCGCTAGAGCGTCAGAGGCTGAGGGACGACCTGACAGAAACATATAAAATTATGAGAGGCTTGGATAGGGTGGATAGTCAGAATGTTTTTCCCAGGGTGCAAATGTTAAATACCTGGGATATAGGTTTAAGGTGAGAGGTGAAAAGTTTGAAGGCGATGTGCAAGCAATGTTTTTTACACAGAGGGCGGAAGGTGCCTGGAATGCGCTGCCAGGTGAGGTGCTAGAAGCAGCTACAATAGCAATATTTAAGAGGCATTTAGACACAAGCATAACAGGCAGGGAATAGAGGAATATGGGCATGTGCAGGTAGATGGGATTCGTTTAGAATGGCAGCGTGGTTCGCTCAGACATAGTGGGCCAATGGGCCTTTGCTATGCTGTACTGTTCTGTGCTCTATCGTCTATCTTCCTTACTTATGGAGCACTGCTAGAACACCAGTGCTAGCAGATTGTAGACCACCCCAATAGTCCATCTCCCACTTGCCTGACCACTGATGCTAATGCTCCACAAACTGGAACCCACTTCTCCTCACCCATCAGGAATGCATTTCTCTAAACTTTGTTGCCCTATGCCAATATACACATGTCTCTGAAAGAGAAGGTTAAGGATTTTCAGAACCTATAGCTGCTTGTTCAAAGTATCCAAAACAACATAATGGTTTTCTTGCTTGTAATAAATTTTCATTTCGCATTGCAATGGTATGAAAATGGCAGAATGGTTTACTGCTTTATGTTTTCTGTTGCAAATGTCTCTTATTCAGAATAACAGTTCAAAAAAGGACCCTCCTTTAGTCATGTTTATATTTAGCACAGTCTTCTGAGACAATATTTTCTGGGTAAAATGCTGTGCACAGATGGAGTTTATGTTGTGGCTGATTAGGGCTGTAGTTTTCATAAATTGATGTGCTGATGATATTTGTCATTAGATAATAAACTTGAAAGGTAATTAATGCAGTTTTCAATTAAAATGAGCACGAGGTAATACATTATTTTCCGGCTGATGCTACCATCCATTCATTACACATACTTTATTCTGATTTAATTGTGTCCTCTTTTCCAATGGCATGTTATACTTCTTCGTGAGAACTTTGGCTTGCATATTGGACCTTCCAAAGCCTGTAATTAACTGAAGCCTAGTGCAGCAGCAATCAGGCCCTATTTGGTTTTCATTATATATCAATCAATATGTCATTAAACCCAACAAACGATATACTTAGTCTGTAGCCATGAGCTAAGTTTCTGTAATGATCGTACAATCCATGTGGGGCTTGTAATTACTGCTGTGTAAAACATTGATGTTGGTCATCATAAATCCATTAGAACTCAGTTACTTGAGGTGTGAAAATCTATTACGTCCTCAAAAAACAAATCATTTGCATCCCTGAAAGAAAGGCCGTGCTCTCCCAACCCCAGTAAGATTTAGAAGTCTGATGTTTTTGGAGAGCTTGTCCCCATCAAAGAATACAAACTTGGTGCTTAGAAATGGGAAACTCTCCTCATGTTAGGCACTCGGTTTCTAGCAATTAAGATTCAGTTAGCAGCTGGGACTGCCCTGGAGTAAAACTCTAATGCATTCACACAAATATTCCTTAGCTTTAGCCCGAGAAATGGACTCCACAGTTGAACTGTTACATCATCTCTGTTTCTCAGGAGTCACAATTGCTCACAAGGAATTGGATTTTAAATACTGCTAAGTTAGGAAGTGGTGTAATGTGGAAAGCAATCCAAAGTTCAAACTATTGGTGAGGCCACACTTGGAATACTGCATTCAATTCTGGTCTCCCTGCTATAGGAAAGATGTTGTGAAACTTAAAAGGGTTCAGAAAAGATTTACAAGGATGTTGCCAGGTTTGGAGGGTTTGAGCTATAGGGAGAGGCTGAATAGGCTGGGGCTAATTTCCCTGGAGCATCGGAGACTGAAGGGTGACCTTATAGAGGTTTATAAAATCATGAGGGGCATGGATAGGGTAAATTACCAAGGTATTTTCCCTAGGATAGGGGTGTCCAAAACTAGGGGCCATAAGTTTAAGGTGAGAGTGGCAAGATTTGAAAGGGACCTAAGGGGCAACATTTTCATGCAGAGGGTGGTGTGCAAATGGAATGAGCTGCCAGGGGAAGTGGTCGAGGCTGGTACAATTACAACATTTAAAAGGCATCCAGATGGATACATGAAAAGGAAGGATTCAGAGATATATGGGCCAAATGCTTGAAAATGGGACTAGATTAATTTAGGATAGCTGACCAGCATGGATGAGTTGGACCGATAGGTCTATTTCCGTGCTGTACAACTCCATTACTCTACGGACTGTAGTTATGCATGAAGTGCTATGGACCAATCGGCAGTGCAAAATTGTACCGAAACAGAATCTACGGACTTGTTGTCTGGTATATCCCCCACTCGACCATTGCTATGAAGCTGGGAGATTGATCCTAGCTCAATGAAGAGTGCAGGAGCAGCACCTTGGTACACCTCATCTTGAGGTGCCCACCTGGTGAAGCTACAACATACTGCACATGCTCCAAGAAGTGTAACCAGTATGCAGTTGATAGGGCTAAGTAAATCGGACAACCAATGGATTGGATCCAAGCCCTGAAGTCCTGCCACATCCAGTCTGAATGGTGCTGGGCATTTAAACTAACAAGAGGTACAAGCTCACAAGTATGCCCATCCTGAATGAATAAGGAACCCAGCACATCAGTGCAAAATACAATTTAAAGGGATTGCCTCTAGCTTCATTCAGAAGTGCTGAGTGGGTGATCCATCTCACCCGCCTCTTCGACCTATTTGTTTCCTCTCTACCTATCCTCTCCTCTATCCATCTTCTATCCGCCTCTCACTCTCTCCCTATTTATTTCAGAACCCCCTTCCCCTCCCCCTTTTCTGAAGAAGGGTCTAGGCCTGAAACGTCAGCCTTTCTGCTCCTATGATGCTGCTTGGCCTGCTGTGTTCATCCAGCTCTACACCTTGTTGTTTCGGATTCTCCAGCACCTGCAGTTCCTACTACTTCTTTCTGATGCCAGTCATCAACCAGTTCAATTCAATTCACACACGATCAAGAATTGCCTGAAAACATTGCATTCTGGCCCTGGGCTCTGATAACAGTCTTGCAATAGCAGAGAACATTGTACTTCAAAACTAGACTCGCCTTTCACTCAGTTTTTTCATAGAATCCCGACAGTGTGGAGACAGGCCATTCAACCCAACAAGTCCACACCGCCCCTCTGAAGAGCATCCCACCCTACCCTATCCCTGTAACCCTGCATTTTCCATTACCAATCCACCTAAACTGCACATCTTTGGATTATTCCAGTAAATTATAACTGTCATTTATTGAAAATTGTGGAGCATTGCCCAGGTAAGCTCTATCCACAAAAAGCAGGACAAATCCAACCCGGCCAATTACTGCCCCATCGGTCTACTCTCAATCATTATTAAAATGACAGAAGGTGTCTTCAACAGCGCTATCAAGCAGCACCTGGTCAGTAATAACCTGCTCAGTGACGCCCAGTTTCCGCCAGCTCCTGATCTCATTACAGCCTTGGTTCAAATATGGATGAAAGAGCTGAATTCCAGAGGTGAGGTGAGAGTGACAGCCTTTGACATCAAGGCTGCATTTGACCGAGTGTGGCATCAAGGAGCCCTAGCAAATTGGAATCAATGGGTATCAGGGGGCAACCTCTCCAGTG